ACCTACGCGCGACTCCTATAGCGTTTAATCGACTTTGTGGGGATAATCCTCCGGTCCACGAGTTTCGGTTCGTTCTCGCGCATAAATATATATATATGTAATATACTAAACGAACAAGAGGCGACGGCCATGGCCGCGTTGTATTTATGGTTTATATAACTTATATATCTCTTATAATATATATATATATTTATTTATATACGCTCACTCAATGTTATAGTAGGATATCGCGCATATACTATAAATTATAATAACTATGCACACTTTACGAGCGGCGTTCCAATCGGAAAATCCTCCACCGGTCCGCCATGACTATAAAATGTCTTATTATATTAACACATTACGGTGACTTGAAGTTTGGTGCAATAATAAAATGTATTATATTTTTGTATTTCGTACGCGCGAGAACCGTCTGCCCGTTGAAAAATAGAATACGTGAATGAGCCGGAAAAAAACGGCACGCGGCGGAAGACATCTCACTCGGATGAAGAGCGAAATGGACGAAATGCGTATACTATGAAACTGTGATGATATTATATAATAATATTATACATATACTCGGGTATGCCGAGTGGCGTGTGCGTGCGTTTTATAACAAAATGTGACGAGAAATAAAAACGTTTCGTCGGCGATAATAAAATACACAAYATACATACAATAACTTGATATATGGCGCGTCGGAGACTCATTATTACAGACGCATAACGTCGCTCGATGGACTATTATCGATGAGTATAATATTATGTAGAAAGTACGTTTTGGAAAAAACGATTTTATGGGACGCGTCACATTATAAGAATACGAGTTTTCGGATAGGATATGTTTTATCGCGTTTTGTCGTCTCGTATATTGTACCTATACATATGTATATAAATATAGATTATATTAGAAAATAATATAATTTATAAGTTTATGACTGTCTGCAGCGTAAGGGTTTTATTTCGATTAAAAGTCGGGGAGACAGGATAGATTCAGCGTACGATAGGTACGTTTGTTATATTATTATCACGTCGTTATCGAATTTTTCAAACGCATATAATATTACACAATAATATATTGTTATAATCGACGGGGTAAATTTAATATTCTATTTGCATGTCAAAAGTCTGACGCAGGTGTACAACACTGTACGACATACTATATAATATTGTATTACTGCGTATTTTGGAAATATAAAATACCGAGCAAAGAACTTACTTAYAATTTCCTGCGTTTGAGATTCGAATAACAAAAAGTAAATCAGTTTATTTTGCGTTGCAATTACAATTGCAGTATAAGTTACCAAACTATGTAAAATATGTATTTCATACATATTTTTTTTTTCTATATGTTTATGACAAAGGCCTATTTACAAAGTGTATACCAAGTTTATATTAATTATTTTTTTATTTTTTATTGTTTTATTGATCTTAAATACAACCCGGCATCTGTGGCCATTAGTTACAGCTATGGTGGCATTAATAATATTATATGTAGCACTGTTGTTCATTGATGTTTGAAAGCTATAGAATAACTATTTTTATAATATTGTTATTCATTACGTGAAATACTTTCTGGATAATAAATTATAGTTGTAAATCCGTGTATACATTAAATTTTCACCAAATGTTTAAATATAATTTACCATGCGTGATAAAATGTTTAAAATATTTTGAGTCTTATTAACCCTATTATTGGTATAAGAGATTTTCGATTTTTTTTTCAAAATATTTGTCAAAAAATACATTTTGCCTCTGTGAAAAAACCTTGAATATTTAATACAAGGATCCGCATAAGTTGCTTTTTGTGTAATTAAAAAATAGTTAAGTGTAACGTGATATTGTCCGGATCTAAGACAAGAAAGCCGGTGATTCATCTCCTGTCTTGACACTATTTTCTAAATTATTTTTGACGTAAATTGTACCTATACATCCATTCATTTATATTTTATCGTTTATGAATTAGTGACAGCTCGGACAAGACGTAGCGGATCAAATCAATGTATGTTTAGGCATAATATTCATCATTGAAAACAATATTAGTCAGTTGCAAAACTAAGTTTCACATAGATTTTGATTTAAAATCTTTATATTCCTCAACTGTTTGTTAAAATAATATTTAATAAATTCTACAAGATACCTTCTAAAATTTTGTTATCTTGTGTTCTATTTATTTTCAGTAAAATAAAATCTGTTGAAGTATTTAACTATATATCATAAAATGTACCGAAAATGGTCGGTGTAATACCTACACATTTCTACTAAAAACGTATATTAKATTATAGGCAACTGCTTCAGGTGGGAAAATGTTGTGGGATTTAACGTATGCACAATTTAATAGTTATTTATCTGAAATGCCAAACGAATAMGTTTGCGCACTGACGTACCTAAGTACATTGTATTTTTCTATAAGCTTTCGACAATATAAAATATAATAAATATATTAATTTTAGATTAGACATAATAATTTTCGTTCACATTGTACCAACAATGAAGCGAATATAACTCATACACGTAATTATAATATTATTATGTATCGTAATCCGTCGTGACAAAATCATCACAAGGAGAAAACTATTCCGTATATATTATTATTAACTATCTTTATAGATTAGCGCAAAAGCCTTTCGAATTTAAGTGTTTTTAAATGTGCTATATTATTATACCTTTACTATGGTGTGCAGTTATAGAGAAATCTGAATGGCCGAGAAAATTACCAGGAAGACCGTAGTTAGGAAACATTTAAGTGTTGTCCCGCCAGTCCGTTGTAAGCGATATTCGCAAACCGCAATTATAATTGTATTAAAAACATTTCAATATAATTATTTACCTTTTCATAGATACTTTATTTATAGGGTCACGCATTACACCGCACCACTCCATTTTTGCAGCGATCGTCTGACGAACCTGAAGCCGTCACTTTGTAATTGAAAACCAAATAAGACGAAAAAAAATGTTTTCCTCGAGATTTTTAATCGCGTTTGCGCTTTACAGTCTGGTTTTGGACTCCACTTCGGGAAAACCTTTAGCAGGTAAGTGTTTCCGGTCATGAAATAAATCCTAAATGTCGATAAATAAAAAAATTTAGCGTAGGTACGCGAAAATTTAAGTTTTACCTAACCTAATTCGGTATGATAACTTATATTGTGTACAATAATTTCTGCAGATGGACTAAAGGCGTGCAAGAGAAGCGATCCGAAATTGGACGAATGTTTGTTGAACATGCTCAGACAGACTAAACCTCAGCTCATGCAAGGTGAGTACGTAATTGAGAAATACGTAATTATTATATTGTTCCAACAATTTCARTTATTATTTTTATGCTTCTATAAAAACCTTTGATGCATAGTAGTGTGTTTAACATTGCAACGATAAGTAAGCTGTAACAATAAATTGGAGTCCCTGTACCAATATGGTTAAACTAGTTAYACCGACTTCAGTCACCGCTTCAGCCATAAATATTAGTTAAACTTTACAAATTTGCTTAGAACCGCGTTTTGATTGAATTGCTTATTTCGCAGGTAAYCCGGAACTGAATCTGCCACCTTTGGATCCTGTACACATCCCCAAGGTTTCAGTGTACAAGAACTTGCAAGACATCCGGGTGACTGGAGATCTATCCAACTTAACGGCTAAAGGCGCCAGTTCAATTACCTTCAAATCGTTAAAGTACGTACATATAAGTATAATTTAATATGAATAGAATATATAAAACTGCAGCATCACATGGTACATAGTACATATTGACATAGAGATAATGTGACCATGTGGGGACTATTATTAATTTTTTCGATTCTTCGATAATATACCATCGATATAAATTATATATCTATGTTTCGATATTTTATGATAATTTAATTACAGCATAA